ATGCAGTCACTGAATGACTCTTCCACCAAGTTCAACAGGTGAAATTATCCTATGGCGAGATTCATCAGCACAGTTGTTGCCTGCAGGGAGAGAGGAAGGCTGAGGAAGAGCACCAAGGAGCCTTCCCAGGCAAAAAAAACACGCATCTGGACTAGCTAATGATGGAACAGGTGAGTGCGGACCTAACCATTCGTTTGTTGCTCACTGCATACAGGGGTGACCCTTGTGCAGACCTTTGCCTAGATCAGAAAAGACTCCACACATTGTTTCCAAACGCTTTCTAAGTTTCAAGTGGAAATTTAAGAAAATTTTAACAGATCAAGTTGTAGTAACTACATAGGACACACTATTACAAATTTCCAAGGCTTCCTCCTTATTTGGAACTTAAAAGGAATAGCTCACAGGAGGAATCAATAAAAATAACAGCAGCTAACATTTATAGAAGCTTTACTATCTGCCAAATGTTTTGCTTTCATTAACTCATTTAATCTCACGGTGGGGAAATATCCTATCCATTTAATCCCCATTTTACAGATAAGAACCCAAGGCTAGGTCAAGATCATTGTTCTACGAGAGCTCACATAAATAATGAGCGTAGCTAAAAAGCAAATTCTATGTCAACCTCTTAATTCAATTTCTATTAAAGTAACATAAAAATAAAAATCAACACACAGCTTCAAGCAAGGAAAGATGAGCAGATTATGTAAGGCAAGTTCAATAATGTAAGCAGCATACATATTTTTTCTCTATTAAAAGCACATCCTTGGCATCCAAGAGTTGAAGCTCCTACTCATATTCCAACACACATACAGCAGAACAAAATGTTCTATAAACGTGTTTTGTTTGTTTGTTTTTAAGTATCTATGCCATCAAAAGATATTACACAGTAACTAAACTATTAATTCAGACAGAAGTTGACTTCGGAGTTTAATCTACTTCTTAGAAGGCATACACTGGGTGAAAGAGGAAAATAAGTAAACATAGTCTCAAAGGCGGCTCTTTATATCCTAAACATTTTATTGTGAGAACCCGGTACAGCACTACATGGGAATGGGAAAAAAAGGACTGCACTATCTACATGATTTTAGTTAGCAATAAAATATACCACAGCCATCAAACTGCTGCCACATTCTACGCCAGCTGAAAACTGCTCACACTGTGGTTCACATTCTCAAAAGATGAAAATCAATTAGTGATACCACCCACAGACCCAACGCCGTCCTCTGTGAAAAGTATACAAGAAGTGAACTGGGTTAGTACTCTGAAAAAAAATATGTTTCCAACTATACAGAGGACAGAGGAAGAGGGAGCAGAAGGAGACACACCAATGCTTCTCCACAAATCTGCTCCAGAAACTGTCCAGAATGTTTTTGGAAATTATGCTTTCATTTACTTGGGGCTGCTGGCAAATCTGCGGAGCAATGGCTCCAAATACTAGAGAGTCAACAGAATTCCATAAAATGCTAACAGAAAAGAATGACAAAATGACTTTAAATTCTATAAGAAGAAACATAACAAGCTCAGATGGCAACCAAGGTATAAACTAAACTATGCCTATTCAAACAAGCATTTCATTTTTGCACAGGCAATCGACATGCCATAAAAGCCTGACTTTGCTCTCAAATTTTAAGTCATTACACAATATACCGGCCCTTACAGGCAAGAGCACACTGTAATACAATTTCACATTATTTATCCAAAGATCATTCAAAGAAAACTTACCAAGTCTGCAAACGTGTATCTGCTTGTGCTCAGAGAGAAAGCAGAGCAGCTCTCTGTACTTACACTAGGGTTCGCTTCAGTGCTAAAAGTACATCCACCACAGCCCTGCCTGCAATAAAGTCCGAACTAGCAGTCCGCCTTTGGGTTGGGCTTTTCTCTTACAAGATAAGCTGTTAAGTCATGCCTTGATTTTAGAGCTGCTAACATATGGAGCCTTCTAATGCAGCCTGCCCGCCACCCCCTCTCCTCCTCCTCCCCATCACTACTCAGCTCCACTCCCTCTCCACACATACACATACACACATACAAAAAAGGCACTGCAGGGCAGAAATTCCTCAGGTGCTCGCTAATGGAATTCCCAGGGTCTAGGAGCCGCTTCGGGGATCAAGAGATCTCACAGCCCCTGCTGGGGTAAGGAGCAGCGAGTCTGTTCCATTTAATCAAATACAGAATGAATTTTCAGCTCTATTCACTAGCTTGTCTCCAGGGCTCTCAAAAGGCACCAGGCAGCTAGAATCACACACATGTGGCTCTTTTAGGCAAGTATAATTAGTTTGATTTTAAAAAGCCACATTAATAATATCACCTCGGGACCATTATTCAGGGGACAGATGACAATGATACTGTATGTTTTAAGCCTGACAATGGAGGGAAAGTGCACAAACAATGGGGAAAGCTTGAAGGATTTTTTTTAAAGAAAAAAAAAAAAAACACCCGCAGCTTTTCATTTCAGTGTAGCTCAGTATTTTAAAAGTGACATTAAGTATATTCTTGTATACTACCCCTTAATTTTAACAATAAATAAATACAGCCTTCCCCTCCTAGGCATAGCCCTTCCGTGCCACCTACACAATAAAAATTTAGCACACTGGAGTGTTTAGATACAATGTAAAAGTGTAAATAAAAACAATGTAACATTTTCTAATTCAATCTAGGTGAGTAAAAATCTCTTGAAAAAAGCGCCAGTCAAAAACAAATAAAAGAGTGTGCGGCACACACACACACACACACACACACACACGGAAAAAAAAAAAAACTCCTTCAAAGCAGTACAGTTAGCAACCAGACTCCAAATTCCTATTTTAATTAGTTTGTATTAAGATCACTAAGCTAAAGAAAGTCTACCTGTAGGCAATTCATCTACATTTCTAATGTATTGTCCTAGCTATAATTCTACACAGTAGAGATGCTGACCACCTCCCTGATGTTAACTGATAACACACATTAAAACACCAAATTTTCCAATTCATTATCTTTGATAATTTTGATTCCTTCCCTGATTTCACAAAGGTGTTTGATTCCTGAAATCGCTTCCCTAGTATCTTAGTTAGAAGCACCCATCAGATTTTAATCTATGTGTTCACAAGAGCAACATCTCCAGAGAAGAAGAAACTAAGCGAAACTGTCTGGAGAACCATGAGAGCATGCAAACCAAGAGGAAACACAAGAGGAAAGCGTAAGAACAAGTTATTAAATTTTACCTGACCTTTGAGGAGCACCACCCTATGACACAAGGTCCTATCCCTGGGCACTCCTCTATATATGCCTTGATGATGGGGGAGGGTCCTGTCTTAAAGTGAAGTTAACGCCTTCCACAAAAAAAAAAAAAAAAAAAAGTCAAGCCACCTGCAAAACCTGCCAGAAGTAAGGGAGATGCAGGAAGCAGCCTACACAGATTAGCTCAGGAGTGTATGTCAGGTCCTCAGATTCTTTGTACTTGGGCTCGAAAGTCGCTGCTGTTTAAGTACTTGGCATGGTAGAGGCTGATGAGAACCGCAGCAGTCAATCAAAGCATCCCAAGTGAGTTACTACACAAACAATAGCACAGCACCTCTAGCGACTGATTTTGCTAGGTGATTAAACTATTCAAAGAAAGACTTCCCAAATGCTGTACCCGAGTTTGTGCAAGAAAGTTAAACAATATACATTTGTGTATTTTATAGAAATATAAACGTTTCTCCTTGCCAAACACACACCCCAGGCTCTTCTTTACAAAATGAAACAGGTTTTCTCCATCCTCCTCACAGAGCTTAAAGCACGCAGCAATTTATTTCCACATGTGCGTAACAGAGACTACAGTATTTTGTGCCTCTCTTGAGTTTCTAAGAATTCTTTCGAGTTCAACACTAAACTAAGATTCCCCAGAAAAATTCTGAAGATTTTCTCTTGTCTTATTCTAAAAGTTAAACTATCTGTATCCCACATTTTCATCTATAAGTAGACTGGAAAGGACGAGTTAGAAAAACGTAACAGAATATGTAGAATCATATTAAAAATAAGGCACCTCTTCTGCAGCCCCCTGCCCACCTTCTCTGGCAGACAGCCCTTGAGCTATGCCAACCGTCCACTGGGAATCCGAGGGGTATGGTATCAGAGAGGCATGGACTCTGAATTCACTCAGCGTCTTTCATCATTCCTGGCATTGGCCGGAGACCAAATCTCACATTACCTTTGAGTCCAACCTCCCGTTTCCCAAGGTGTCTGATTAAGGACACAAAGGCTGGCTTTCTGTTAATGAGGTTCCCTAAATTCGACAGCCCAACTGGGGAGCAGCCTGCCCTTAAAACACCTGCCACCCTCTGTGGTCCCCATGAGGAAAGGCAGGCTTTCTATGGAAAGTTCCTTTCTCGAGGGCCTTCCACCTGATTTGGTGGGGTTAGGGAGAACAATGAAGCCAAGGGCAAGGGAGTCTATCTATCCCCCCTCAGTGATTTATTACTGAAATTCCTAAAAGTGGAGAGAAAGCAACAAAGGTCTGAAGCTGCAGGCTGAAATAAATAGCGATGTATTTAAAGTATTTAGTAAATGATAATGCGAGTCACAGAAAGCTTTACAGAAGAGAAGGAAAAATACACTCCCTGGGGCTGGGAAGTCACTGAGTCTGTGAAGGCAGAGAAAGATACATTGTGCAGGAAATTTCTCTTGCTTTTCCCTACACATAAATCACTGTCTCTCCCCGGCATGGAGAGGGGAGACAGAGTCGGCTCCCTTGGGAAAAGCGCCCGCGCCCTCGGCTAAGCGGCATCCCACCTGCCCTGGCAGATCTCGGAAGAAGACCTCAGCGTGTCACTGACACCTCACCCCGCCTCCTCCGGCGAGGTGGCTCCAAGCGCCCTAGGATGCGGCGGCGGGCCGGTTGCGGGGCATCCCTCAACTGCCCTTCCACCCGGACCCCTTGCATCCTGAGGGCAAGCTGGCCTCCGCTTCCCCAGGACCCCCCGCTCCCGAGCCCGCGACCCCGGGTCACCCTCGGGGACCCTACAGCAGGACCCCCGCACCTCTCCGCAGGGCTGGCTAAGCCCCCAGACCTCCTGCTCGGCAGCCGGCTCCGAGAGCCACCCGCAGGTCATCCCCCCGCGCGCTGGCGGCGGCGGCTGCGATCCGAACGGGCCCCTCCATGCACCGGGCAGGGCGGCCGGAGGGCGCGGCGCCTCACACGCGGGGCGGGGGCGCTGGGGCGGCGCGAGGTCCCCGTCTCGTACCGAGCCGCGCGAGCCGGGCACCCGGGCTCCGGGAGGGGAGCTGGGGGGCGGAGTCCCGGGGCGCGCCCCCGCGGCCGCGCTCCTCCCCCGCGGAGCGCGCGGACGCCCGGCACCAGAGCCCAGAGAGGAGGGCACCGGCGGAGACGGAGGCGGGCCGCAAAGGCCGGGACTCCCCGGCCCGCGCCCTGCCGCGGGGTGCGCGCGCAGCCTGCCAGATCAGCGGCGGGCAGGGCCGTACCACTCCTCCAGGGGTGGGGGGAATGATCCGCGCGCTGGCTCCCGCTCGCCGCCTGTCCGCTCGCTCCGCACCGACACCCCCGCGGGCAAATGCACCTGAAGCGTCGGGTGCTGTAGACCCGGTAAGGACTAGCTGCCTAGGCGAGACACGGAGGCGCCCGTCGGGTCTACACTCACTCTCCCCTCACCTTCGCTCGCCCCGGGGAGGCGGCATTTCTGGCTGGTGCACCTCACAACACGTTCCCGGTTCCCGCCCAGGCCCCGCCCCGCCTGCCTACCTTTTGAGGAGCTACCTAGTATTGCTATTCCCTGGTGACCCTGTGATTGCGATTCAACCACTTCCCTTTGCCTTTCCACGACTCCTAGGGTTCAGTTCCTTAGGCAGCTTCCTTTGATTTCCCCCAGGTCACCCGCTCTGCCTTCACTGGGGCAAGTGACAAAATTCTGAGATCGGAAAAGGCTCAGGGTCGCCCGGTGCAAGCATCTTGGCTTTTGGCCCTGCAGTCTTCTCAACTCATCCGCTGGACCTGCCCCCAAATTATTCGAGCTCAATGAGCATTAGTTGTTCAGAGAGAAAAAGAAGGAAAACAAATCCTACTTCGGAGGTGACTGTGAAAAGCGTAATTATGATATTCTGTGAGAAGTACCTGCCACTCATTGGGCATCCGGGGATTGTAACTTTTTGTGATGATGATGATGATGATGATGATGATGATGATGATGATGATGATGATGATGATGATTTTAGCCCATAACCATTACTATTAGTTTAACTTCAAAAAGAGTTTTAATGACAATGATACTTGGTCACAGCTACTCTATACTGAGCTTCAGAAGAATACAACTTAGCCTTTCGCTTTAGTTGGAGTGCCGTCTTTCTGAATACTTTGGAAAGAAAATCAGTATAAGAAAGAAAAAGAAGAAAAAAGCTTTAAATCTGGCTTTCCTTCCTATGTTCCCATATTTTTTAAGTTATACGGGCAAGATAGAGAAAAAAAATATTTTTATTCAGCAAAGACACCTTTCTATCAAAAAGATAAGATTTAACTGAAGTAAATTTTGTGCACATGGAGTAGAAGTCTGGTGGCATTGTAAAGAACTCTCTATATCCCTAGATACCAACTCCCCACAAACACTTCCAGCGTCTTGTTTGAGGGCTCCGTTGATTCGGGGCACCTCCCATCCCCTAAATCTAACACTGCTATTCAAATATCACTAGGCCTAATGTTGCTCAGAATGAAACTTGTAGATCAGATTCCTCCTCTAATGACTCTTTGTAAATTGGACAAGTCATCGCAGATGCAAAATGGTTTTTCATTAATGAACCCATGTTCATTTGTTCACGTAGAGGTTTAAATTATGGTACTTCATGCCACTAGTAGACACAGGAGTACATAGAAAAATATCACATATCTCAAGCTTAGAGAACTCACAATTGCACCAGGCTTTTTTTAGGGCCACCAACCAGCTCCCAAATCAAGACTTACTAATTTTGAATGTTTTCAGGCTTGTTTCTGGCTAACTCTTTTAATTAACCTGTTTCTCTTTATCTACCTTTTGCCTCAGGATGTTTTAGTTTTCTTTCCTTCCATACATCTTACTTCCACTGCTTCTCACATCTTGCTGATTGGTGACTGCCCAGCTTCTTGCCTCAGGCATGTCCCTCTCCCCTTCATTCTCTCATCTTCTCTCAAAGTTCTCCTCAAACCTAGCTTTCTCCTCCTACTTATTCTCTCTGTCTGAAAGCCCCACCCATCCCCCTTCAGCCTAGCTGTTGACCATTCACCTTTTTATTCCACCAATCAGGTGCCTTAGGCAGGCAAGGTGAAACAAATGCACCTTTACATAATTAAACAGATGCAGTACAAACAAAAGTAAAACATCTTTACATCCTTAACAAAAGCAGGAGAAACAAATGTAACACATCTTTACACAATTAAAGAAATATTCCACAGCATAAACAAATGTAACACATTTTTACATGGCTAAAATAATATTGCAGAACACACACTCTAATACACAGCCAAGCACACTGTGACATCATCTTCCATGAAATGAACTGTGATGCATAAGGCCAGTGAGGCTAACTCTGTCCAGAGTTTGAGCGTGTGGCTCTTTCTAAAAAAGAATTCCCAAAAGAAGTGATTCTTGGATCTAGTCTTAAAGGAGAGAAGGAATCATCTGGTTAAGAGTGGTAAAGAATACAAAGATGGTCTGGACAGGGAGCAAAGTGTCGAGGCAATAAATAAATAGATGAGGGAATGAAGCTCAAAGCAAGTTCAAGCTCTCTTTTGAGGCTAATGTTTAAGGAACAGGCAGGAATTAGCCAATGCAGACTGGGCAGAAAGACACACAAGCCAGGCCACAGAAACCCATGTGGATTATATGAAGGACACAGGCCTTCCAGGTATCAGGGAATCAGTACAGGGTTTAGAGTAGGAGAGAGATGTAATATAACTGTATTTAGAACAATCACCTAGCATCGATACAAGAATGGGTTTGAGGGATTTTGGAAGCTTCCTGTTGTGGTATGAGTGTACCCCCAAGGTTTTATGTGTTGTAATTTAATCCCTATTCTGAGGCATCAGAATGTGTAACATGAGGGCCGGCTGTGGGGATTTCTGTCCTGCCCGATTCCCACAGCCAGCAAGTCCCAAAGAATATCACACAGAGGTCTCCATAAGATTATAAACTGATTGGCCCATTAGCTCAGACTTCTTATTAGCTCTTATCACTTATATTAACCCATTATTCTTATCTCTGTTAGACACATGGCTCGGTACCTTTCTCAGCCAGGTAGATTACATCTTGCTTCTTCCATGATCTGGGCAAGACTGGGGAATGGGCTTCCTCCTTCCTAGAATTCTCCTGTTTTCATCACCCTGCCTCTACTTCCTGTCTGGTTGACCTGCCTATACTTCCTGCCTGGCCAATCAGCGTTTATTTAAAATATGATTGAGAGAATACAGACAATTATCCTGCACCAAGAATGAATACTCATTATATATTTGCAAGTGGGGTCTTTGGGGAATGATCAGGATTGGATACTATCCTGATGACTATGAACAAGGGGAGAGAGAACAGAAATAAAAGTACACTTACATTCCTGATATGGGATTTCCCTCTGTATGCTGTTAATATGTTTTATTACCATTGGTTAATAAAGAAAGTGATTTCAGCCAGTGTCATAACAGAATATAGCCAGGCTGGAAAAGATATAGAGAGAGAGTAGGTGGAGTCATAGAGAAGCCAAGTAGCCACCACAGAAGGAAGACACCGGACTCCAGACAGAACCTTACCAGAAGGTTGCAACCATGTAGCAATACACAGATTAATATAAATGGGTTAATTTAAGAAGTAAGAACTATCTAGAAATATGCATGCGCTAATAGGCTGAGCAGTGTTGTAAATAATACAGTTTCTATGTGATTATTTTGGGTCTCGGCAGGCAGGAAACAAACAAGCAGCCTCCAACGATAGATTGGCATGCTAACATGGGGCTGACTACATCCATATAAACCTGAGGAAGCTTGGAAAACAATTCTAGACACATACAAAAACAGAGTTAAGCATGGTTTCTTGATAGGCAGCATTTTTTTTTTTTGCCAGATGGGCTTTGTTTGCTGGTAGCAAGCAGGGGTGCCACAGCTCCTTTAAGAGAGGTCTTACTGATTCAGCATTAGCAGCAAAAACAAACAAACAAACCTTGTGGCTTCTTTAAGAAACGGCGGTTTCCTAGTTCATGATAGTTGCAGGAACAGCTATGGCTCTTTCAGGAGGCTGAGCACTTGAATGGGGTTTGTGGGCCCAGATGCTTGTAAGCCCACTTGGGGTTAGGAGGAAAGTAGCTGAAAGCATGCCTGTCACTCAGCACCCTGGCCTGGGAAGGCGATGGGATCAGGTCTGCTAGAGTGCACAGGCAGGAGGCATGGCGAATTCCCGCTGCCATAAACAGAGATATTTCCAGGTCATGCAGTTCGCTGCATGGCAGATTTAGCTTTTATTCAGGTAAAAAAAAAAAAAGATTTTTATGCTGCATGGTGCTACCCAGAGTTGAGTTGGTAAGGATAGCTCCCACCTGGCAGTCTCAGAGGCAGTGAACAGACCCTCACCATGTTAGTTAGACTAGGCAGAGCCAAAAGGCAAAAGCAGCCTTAGTCCTAACCAAGCCACTTAGCATTTTTTATTAGATTTTTTTTAAAAAGAATACCAATCCAAGTTCCTACTCCCTCCTCTCCTCCCATTCCCTCTATATACCCTCCCATCCTACCCTCTCTAATCCTAAGAGAGGGTAAGGCACATTGCCTTGTGGAAGGCCCAAGGCTCTTCCTACTATATCTATGCTGACATCCAAAAAGAATAGGATCCCAAAAAGCCAGTACATGCAGTAGGAATAAATCCTGATGCCACTGTCAGTAACCCCTCAGTCTGCCCCAGCCATGCAGCTGTCAACCACATTCAGAGGGGCTTGTTTGGTCCTATGCTTGTTCCTTCCCAGCCTCGCTGGAATTGGTTCACTCCTATTAGCTCAAGTAAACTCTTTCAGTGGGTGAATCTAACATGGTCTTGACCTCTTTGCTCATATTCTTATTCCTTCCACTCTTCAACTGGACTTTGGAAGCTCAGTCCAGTGCTGCAATGGGGGTCTCTGCCTCTGTTTCCATAAGTTGCTGGATAAAGATTCTATGGTGATATTTAAGATAATCATCAGTCTGATTACAGGGCGAGTCAAGATTGGGGCCCCTCTCTATTGCTTAGG